CATTACATTATATAGTTTTTCTTTTTCTATTGCCGATGTTATTAATCCTTTGGTAATCCAGGCATTTCTGCTTTTCTCTTTGTGACTAATTATTACTTTATTGGTACTAATATCTATTAGTTTTTTTTATTTTCTCTATGAACAGTCCCGTTGCTTTGTCTATATTATTTATAGAGTATAATTGTTCCCAGGATTCTTGTTTGACATTTGATATTAGTTTTGAATTGTCGACAAAAAATTTGTAATTTTCCTGGTTGTTACTAACGGTAGGGATGTTAGAATGTTTTTCATTTGAAGATATCAGTAAAATAGTGGAGAAGTGGTCAGTAATATCGCTTTCTGGATTATTGGTGTACAAGTAATTTTGTTGGATAGGTCTTTCACAAAGCAGTGATCTATACATGTGCCACTGATGGACCTTGTAGGTAGGTTTATATAGGACAGAAATCCGTTACTTGATAGGATATTCAAGTATTCATTTGTGATGGGATCATCGTCCAAAATATTTATATTGACATCTCCCAAGAAAATATGTTGCTTTAAATGAACTTTATTTTGATTTTGAAAAAAAAAATCGATATTCTTTAAAAACTCGTGGGGTTCTGAACATGGCGGACGATAAATTGCAGATACCTCAATTTTGTTATGGTTAATTTGGATCATTAAGTTTAAAATTTTGATTCCATCCATATACATACATATATGTAATAACACAAAACAGTGAAATAAAAAGTCACTTTAAGGACGCAAAAATGATGTTGTATGTCGCCTCGTTTTCTTTAAAATATCGTCTTGAAATCGTATTTCTAATTTAGAAAGAAGCTCTGTGGCTCTGATTTTCGACAAAATTTTTGAGCTGCTTGGTCAAGGTAATAGCTTTACCATAATTTGGAACAGCTTCTGTTGGTTCTGGAACCTGATCGACATCAGAATTTTCGGAAAGTTCTTGTATTTCAACTGGATTTTCAATTGCTTAGCCCGAATCTGGATCTTCAACATACAAACTTTGATCTAGGTTCAAAAAATCATAAAGGTTTTCACAAATAGTCAATTTCAATAATCTTATTTTTGAGGATATCTGAAAGTACGCTAAGTGGTAAGTCATCTTTTGGGTTAGGTGTAGTCTCATTTAACTGGTCTTCACTTTGTATATTTCCATGCTTAAATTCTGCTTTGTGTCAGCAACTTTGCACTGTCTCTGGTTACTAGGTCTCAAGCGGTTTTTGCCAAATGGCGTAATTTTCCTCATTAACTCAAAAGCTGTGCCAGCAGTTTCAGTGTTTACTAGCAGGTGTTACAGTATTAGACTTCGGTAATAAGTTTTAAAACTCTTTATAATCCCTTGGTCCAGTGGTTGATACGCTGGTGTACAATTTGGGGCAAAAATAATATTAATATTTGCGATACTCTCAACATAAAAAAATAACACAAGGCGTTTCTTTATATTTTGTTTTTTGTGACTTATTTTACTTGACGCAATTTTTTTTATAAGAGTATGATGTCACAGGACACCGAATACAGCATTTTACGATAGAGTTGTTACGTAATCAACACAGTTTTTCATCATATGTTTATTAATATTGTATACTAAGTGACATATAAATCCGAACACCCAGTTTAAATGGTTTTATTTTAATAAAATTTTGTATAAGTACTTAATGAAGCATAATAAGTAAATGATAAAAATTTAAAAATGATTGCACTGCTTTAAAGCCCTTTGACCTTTAGTAATGTGTGGATGCACCCTGATGTGCTACGCATTCTCCAACGCGCCTAGGCATGCTTCTGATCAGGTGGTCAATGTCCTCCTGTGGTATCTCATTCCAGGCAACCACCAACTCCTCTCGAAGTGCTTCTAGAGTCTGAGGAGGACGTATCAAATTGAGCAATCTCCTACCCATCATATCCCGCACGTGCTCAATTGGGGATAAGTCGGGAGATCTTGGTGGCCATGGTAACAATGTGACATCATTATGAAAGAAGTCTATTGTGACTCTTGCAACATGTGGTCGGGCATTATCTTGTTGGAAAGTTGGATCTGCCAGGGTGTCAAGATAGGGTAAAAGATGGGGTTCTAGAACTTCGTGGATATGACGCTGCGCGTTCATGTTACCTCTGATGAAGATTAAAGGTGACCTGGAACCATAAGCTATAGCACCCCAAACCATAACTCCAACAGTGTGACGAACATGTCTTTCAACAAAAAACTGTGGATTCCTCCTTTCACCACGTCGCCTTCTAACCCTGGCACGACCATCGTGCATGCCTAAACAAAATCGAGACTCGTCACTAAAGACAATACTGTTCCATTCCTGATCCCAGAGTGACCGTTGTCTGCACCACTCAAGGCGATTACGTCGGTGTTCTCGAGTTAAAGGGAGGACCCAGTGTGGCCGGTATGAAAACAAGCCAAAACTTCTCATTCGTCGGTAAACACTTCGCATGCCAATAGGTCTTCCGTGTTCTGCAAACCATTCATTTGCAATTGACCTGGTAGTGGAGAAACGGTCCCTTAAGGCCAATAATCTTAGGCGGCGATCTTCACGGTCTGTTGTTCTACGGCGGCGTCCAGTGCCCCTTGCTCTTTGCGTACGGCCTTCTCGAAGCCATGCCTGACAACCCCTAACCACAGTGTCTACACTTCTTTGCACTCTAACTGCAATTGCCCGAAAAGAAAGTCCAGCTTCCCGAAGTCCCACTATACGGCCCCTATCAAACTCACTAAGTTGACGAAATCGTACAGGTCTCCGTATTCTAGGCATCGTAACCGATCGTAAAGGATGTCAAGAACCAAAATCCGCCAACGTTGATTATTTACTGCGGCTGAAATATTCATTTTTAGAGCGTTAGTGAATTAAAAAAAAAGCAGTATAAAAACCGGAATGTCCAAGTGATAAGGCTGAAAATTTTTTAACTTGTTATTCACAGTAAGATAAATACATTCACCAACTTTTATTAAAATAAAACCATTTAAACTGGGTGTTCGGATTTATATGTCACTTAGTATATTTATGGGATCTTTCTTTTTTTTCAGATGCATTACCGGAGATAATAGGAAACAACTGCCGATCATGTGACCAAAAGCAAGCTGCCAATGCTAGAAGAATTGCTAGATTCGTCCAAACCAAATATCCAGATGTCTGGAACGCATTGGTCAAGAAATATTCGAAAAAATCATCCTGAACTTTTACTACCGAGATTTGAGGAGCTTGCGTGTACAAAATCATATTGATTACGTTACTTCTATAATGTACTATTTTGTTGTAGTTAGTGTGTATGATGGTTTGAATAAATTTGGATTTGTTGAAGAATCCGACCCATATGATCGACACTTATTTTTAAGGTATTTTTGAAAAAGAGCAAGGTCAAGTCTCCAGTAACTTTCAGCAAGGAATTCAGCGGTAACCTTCAATTTAACCTTGACCTTCATCTTCAAGGTTATTTTACAGACAACTTTATTTTTCAAATAGAAACCCATACTTTTGATGCCAGCAATCGAAAGAACAGAAAATTTGATGTTCAAATACAATTAAAGTCCAAAGGTCACGATGACGACTAAAGGTCAAATGAAGATTAAATGTGTGCTGCTAGGAGAACCTCCGTATATCTCACAGGATGAAAATAACTATCAAGGTCAGGTCTGTAGTAAATTTTGGCGTCTTCAAATAGCATACCCGCAATATCGGTAACTTAACGAGGGAACTGCGGTGTTCGTTACAAATGATTTTTTACGGATACAAAAATAATGTTTTTTATTTGAGCAAATAAAGTTTACCATTAATTAATCTTGAAAGTCAAGTTAAAATTCAAGTTCACCATTGAATTTTTTGCTGAAAGTTACTGAAGGCCTGACCTTGGTCTTTTCCAACAATACCTCGCCCGAGAAAATACAGAGCCCTTCCGTGACTTTTGTGTCACGCTGTATGCACATACAATCCAGTGTTTTCTCTCTATTCTTTAGAGAAGCCTTACGAATTGGTTTGCCTATTTTGAACCATTTTACCTTTGTAGATGACGAATAGCTAAATAGTTCTAATCATCTGTAGATTGAATTAATTAATCATAATGACGAACCATAAATCTCATCTCTATTAGCAACGTTGCCGGTTGTTGCAAAATAACTACACATATTCCACAGAGGTTTTTCCGCGAGATCCCGTAGTGAACCGGAAGATTTGACAGTTTCAAGTTTCAAGTGGTTAGATGGCGCATGTTGCGCAAAATGTTTACTTTAAGCTCCTTGCTAAACTCAGCTGCCTTGTTTGAATCTGAAATAAAAAGACCGATCGTTTTTTGTGCAATGTACATATATATCAATAAAATCAATCATTTGATATGACAAATGCGGTTCATATATCTTTGATGACCTTCTCCCTCGTCATTTAAAATCAGGTGGACGTGTTCCTGCATTTATGATTTAATAATTTAACTCAATTGTCGGCACTGCGAAGACAAATTTTCAATTGAGATGCCTGTTTTTTAAATGAAATTGACATAAGACCTGTCACCCGCTAGTAACTCACAGACGTTAGGCGGGTACCCGTACCACGTGATTTTTTGACATTCGGACGACGTCACATCCGTCTTCTCCTATTCCGGCACTGGTATCATGTAAAAAAACCTACAAAACTTCAAAAAAACCTACATAATGTGAACTTGCATACTAGTTTTTAGGGTGCAAACAGTCGTTCCACGTTTGCTCACCAGGATCGTTGTAAGACGATCCATCTATGAACGATACGAGATACTTTTCTCTAACCAAATATGCATTATTGTGCATGACTGGTTGCAGTGATAGTTCTCAGTTCATAGTGGGGTTCATTAACTTCAATGTGTCCCTTAAATTATTAAGTTGTCTATAGACATTAGAAATAATTTTTTCCTGTACAACTAGTAATACAGCTTGGAAAACTAACTTTTAAAATTCCTGGTGATTTTCCATTCCAATTTCTGGTGAACTGTATTTTTTGACCTGGCAACACTGCGCTGTCGCTTCAAACAGCTGATGCACTGTTAACTGTCAGTAGCATAAAAACCTTTGTGATGTCTAATAATAAATTTGTAAACCTTGTATTTTGTTGATATATCAACAAATACATAAACGGGTGCCGATACGCACAGTTCCCCATGTCGTTCTTTGTCTAGCTGCTGAACGAAGGCATGCCAATTACTCTTTAAGTGATTACATTAATCAATGTGAACTTGGTGCCCTGCCAGAAATCAGACAGGAAAATGCAGGTAAGAATACTGCAGCTGCGAATGCCTTCATTCTTATTTATAATTTAAATTCCACCAGATTAGATAAGTAATAGTGTCTAAATTCATTTTTATTTTCTCTAACTAGAGTGTTTGACTTATCTTGATATCTTGTTGGTGTATGTTCAGTGAAATGCAGATCTCAATACATTTTTACTGTCCATTCATCATATCTCCTTATGAGTTTCTTGGGAATTGTAATAAATATTGTCGGGGTGTGTTCCATAGTTTAGGCAATAAATATTGATAGCAAACAAAAAAAAGGGGAAATAGGTACATCCGCAAACCTTTTTAAGCAATCCTTGAATAGGAATTGTGTGGCTTTGAAGGATTATGTGTGATATCTGGTGATTTTATTATGAAAAAAAGCACTAGGTAATAAGTCAATTATCTAAGTAGTAAAATGGCTCAACTACTAAGTAGGTACATAAAATTGCTTTCCATTATCATTTTTCAGTAATGAACATGTTATATTATTGGTAAAAACTGATATTTGAAATCCTATACTTGCTGCCAATTGGTACCAGATTATTCAACTATTTTTGTGATAGTTTACAAAAATTTCATATCCACAGTTGCTATATCGATATCAGTATTAGCCCATTAAAAACAGTAAGCATTTGATTCCTTAATTTTTGTCATTTGTGAAGTGAGTGACAAATTTTAAATGCAAGTAAAATTGTTAGCTGATAATATATAAATACTGTTCTTGTTACATATATGCAGAATACATTATATAATATATAATATATATATATATAATATTGTGCTGTATTTCTTTTTTAACTTGTGTTATTAATACACCAACCCTTACACATAATTCGTTATAGCATAATACTCACTTATACATAAATAAATTCATTAGACAGTAAAAAATGAATTGAAAAAACTGGAACTGGACAAAAATATATAGACAAAGGAAAACAATTATAGAAAAAAGAAGCAAAGTTCATTGAGTTATAGAAAACCAACCATGTTTGTGTTAATATTTTGTAGCATATACCATTATAATCAATAACCGCCTGGCATTATCTCAGAATAGATTGCAAAGTTTCTCGATATAAGATTCATCAATCTGTCTCCACTTTTTCTCTAAAGTGGCAAAAAGTTCATCCTTCTTTGAATAATTTTTATCTCGTATTTGCTTATCTAAGTATTCCCATAGATTTTCAATGGGGTTTATATCGGGAGATTGTGAAGGCCATTTGAGAACTGGTATCTGTTCATCCAGAAAGAATTTCTTTGCGAGATTTGAAGTGTGCTTCAGGTCATTATCTTGCTGGAAGATTGATCTTAAGGGCATATCCTAAGCGGCTTTGGACAACTATTGATGAGATTACTGGGAAAACAAAATTTAAAGGGTGTGTCACTGAGTTAAATACAACATCGGGAACAGTATTAAAAAATACTCAACAGATATGCGATGAATTTGTACAATTCTTTACTGACATAGGCGAAAATTTAGCAAGTTATATACAAGCAAATGTACAAAATACTCAGCCTCCAAAAAGAACTTTGAACTCATTTATTTTGGACAAAGTCGAACAATGTGAAGTATACACCACTGATATGTCCTTAAAAAATCGGAAAAGTCCTGGGTTCGATGGTATTAAAAGCGAGCATTTGAAAATTATAGCCGAGGACATAACAGAACCACTCACTTACCTAATCAACAAATGCTTTGAATCTGGCATATATCCCTCAATTTTAAAAAAAGGTAATATAATACCAATACATAAATCAGGAACAAAAACAGATGTTAACAACTATAGACTAATATCAATAATATCCAGTGTAGCAAAGGTTTTTGAAAAAGTTTTATCTACTAGAATGATTCGATACCTCACAAAATTCAAAATTTTAAGTGAAAATCAATATGGATTTACAGAAGGGAAGGCTACATCGGACGCAATAACTAAAATTGTAAATCAAATATATCAAAATATTGATAACAGAATCCCTTCAATCTGCATTTTTGTTGATTTAAAGAAAGCTTTCGACACAGTTAATCACAAATTATTATTAGAAGCATTGGAGAGAATTGGTTTCAGAGGAAACGCGTACTCACTGATCGAAAGTTATTTGTCAAATCGCCCACAATCTGTGCAGATATCAGGATCATTTAGTAAAGAAATGTATATTAAGTGTGGTGTCCCACAAGGAACTGTCTTAGATCCGCCGTTATTCAATATATATTTAAATGATATTTTCCAAATTAATTGTGTTGGCAAAATAACTAGTTTTGCAGATGATACTGCAATATTATATGAAGGCACTGACTGGTCTGATCTGAAGAATGTGATTGAAAATGATTTTATCAAAATTATTCGGTGGTTTAACAGTAGAAAATTAAGCATTAACTACTCTAAAACACATTTTTTACCATTTGGATCTTATGCTAGACATCTGCCAAATTACACAAATTTCTCCTTCAATGTTAATGATCAAAAAATGCAAATTAATAGAGAGCCCAACATAAAATACCTTGGAGTGGTCTTGGATCCTCACTTACGATGGGACATCCATGTCAATTATATTTTAAAGAAAGTTGGATTTGTATCCTACAAAATTAAATACCTTGGGAATATATTGACAGAAAAATATCTTCGAACATTATACCATGCACTGATTGAGCCTCATCTCACATATGGTATATTAGCATGGGGAGCTGCATGTTCCTCACATATCTATAATTTAGATGTTTTTCAAAAAAGTATTCTAAAAATGATATTTAAAAAACCGAAACTTTATCCCACTGAAAAATTATATGCAGATGTTCGAATGTATGATATAAGACAGCTTTATTTCTTACACAGTATCACTCACTACCATAAATTTGTAAACACCGACCAAAAAATTAAACATAATCATTATACCAGGTACAAAATTCGTGGCACAGTAGTTCCTCAACCGCATAAATCTATAATGCAGCGATCATATCTCTATTTAGCGCCTAAATTTTATGAAATTATACCTAAAGACTTAAAAGATTTACGTTTCGGAAATTGTTTCAAAAGAGATTTAAAAAAGTGGCTACATTCTATATCTAGGACTGAAATTCATAAACTCATAAATACGAACATCAACTAAATACATAATCTACTGTAGCTAATTTTTGTCCTTTTTTGTCATTTGCATTCTACAGTTTCAACTTAAATTATTGGTCCATGTACAGGCGATGCCTTCTATTGGGCCTGTTTTGATTTTATATTTATTTACTCATATTGTTTGTTATCTTTGTACATTGAGTAAATAAATATTATTATTATTATTATTATTATATAGGGTAACCCTGGCATGCTTTAGTGTCTGTCTATACAACTTATCCATAATGCCATCTATTCTGTGTAAAGGTCCCATCGAAAACCACGAAAAGCACCCCCAAACTATAACAGACCTGCTTCCATGTTTGACTGTGGGCAAAGTGTACTTGGGGCTCAATCTTTGTCCACTAGGACGTTTAAAGTAATGAACACCATCTGATCCAAACTTATTGAAGCAGCATTCGTCACTGAAACATACCTTCTTCCATGCTCCAATCAAGATGCAACCGTGCAAATTGTAATCGGTCCTTACGGTTTTTCCTCGAGATCCCAAGATCCCTGGGAAACACCCGCGTTCACGTTGTGGGACTGATTTATTTGTCAGTGAAAAACATCAAATTCTGTGACTTACGAGCTTTTTGCAATAACCGATTCAATTGATTCTACTATTTTTACTATCCCACAAAAAAGTTGATGAATTTTAAAGAACTTGTCTTTGTCTGTCAAATATTTACATGAAAAAGTCGATAAATAATTATTGTTACAATATTGTGTAAATATTTCGGCAATATACCAAAATCAACATCTGCTTACTTGACAAATATTTATATTATTTATCAGTATACATGCAGGAAATATGTCCCAATAAAACTAGTCAATCTTTGTGTATTCCAATATTATCATAGATATGTATACCGGATGGCTCAGTTTAAGTAAAGTTTGTCGTTGATGTAAAAATGTAGGTTGTAGATTCACTTGGTGTATACAGTCGAGTGATACCTTATTTTAAAGGTCTTTCAATGTCCCCCTCATTGATTTGGAAATTTAGAGTCTAAATACGCCCGTACTAATCTACTGTAGTGTGCGGGACAGCCGTCGTGCTGGAACCGCATATTTTGTCTCGTCGCCACTGAGCAGCCACAATGCGCGTAGACGTAGTAGGGTCTTCCTGAAACACACGAAGGATTTCCTCTTCATCTTCAGTAGGATAGACTCGGGGTCGACCAGCATAACTATGTTGCCTTTGAACACGTCCGGTTTGGCGGATGCGCCGATACACAGAGTCAAATACAGTAACATGAGGTGTTCGGCGATTCGGGAAACGTTGCCGATATTCACGGCGGGCAGCTGCAGAATCGCCGTTACAAAGTCCATAACAGAACATTATGTCTGCGAATTCTTCATTTGTAAAAGTTTGCCCGTGCTCGCTATGGCGAGGTCCTGGCGGATCTTCTGCGTCTGCCATGATGATAAAGAAGCTACTCGAAATGAACTGGGAAACCCGAAAATAATAATCGTGCGTAAAACGTTGATACCAACTAAACCTAATTCTCACTCGGCGTGCGGCGATGGCGTAACTACAATGATGAATAATAACAGCTCTCTCTCTCTCACTCCTCCACTAAGTCGGCTCTTCTCGCTCGCTTCCTCGTCGAGCCGATGCCATAAAACAATCATGGCATGCGAGTCCTTTGAGGACAGTAACAACTTGTTCAAACAGGTAATACAAATTCCTTGAAAATCCAGCCTCTGTGGGTGTCATTGTTGTTTCTCTGCATGTACTTCAGATAATTGAACGCTTATTACCTCAAATGAAAGCTTGTTAGATTATTATTTATACTTTATGTGAAGTCACTTGAAACACTGTGAAATACCGGGTGCATTTTATACATCTATATTTAACACGCTCTGTTGCTGCAAAAATCGCTAAATTTCGCA